CGGAGACTTTTAGTGGGGGGGTTACCGAGAAATTTCAAGACAGGACCGTTGAATCCTTCCTGTCGGTGGTACAGAATATTGAGGGCTTGGACAGTGTTTTGAAGGAGGTGAGGCAATTGTATCAGGATCTTGACAGGCCCCTTGGGCGGCGGAGCAAACGGCTGAAGGGCTTCAAGTTTGGAAGTATCCATGAGGCAAGCTTGGGAGCCTCATCGATATTTGGGCGAAGTGAGGAAGAGGAGGTCAAGATACTTCGTGAGGATAAGCAGAATCTTACAGAGCGAGTAAAAGGCTACGAGTCTAGGATAAGGAAACTCGAGGATTTACTACATAGGGGACGGACAAGTGGCGGGAACATGTATCAGGTCGCTGGCTCATCAACTCCACAGCAACCTTCTACCCCTCAACCTAACCAGACCTCATTCCCGACATCGATTGCTGGACCCTTACTTTCGTCGGATCGGCCAAGTTCGCCTGCCGCTATCCGGCGGATATCAGTGGAAAATGCTGACAAGCCGATGGTGGCACGTATCTCTGCATTGGAGGCAGAGCTTGCCGCGGAGAAGGAATTGACCGCTCAGTTGCAGAGGGACGCTTCTTCTCGGATAGATTTGGAGAAAGCTATGACCACTCGGATGGCTCTCGCTGATGAAACGAAGCGAGATCTCGTTGCGAACTTGGAGGATATGGGCCAGCAGCATATCGTTGAGAGGAGGGTGATGGAGCAGGAGATCGAGGAATTGCGACAGAAGCTCGATGAGGCCTATGAGGAGATGGATCGAATAGAGGAGGGAAGGAATGAAGAGGCGCGCAGGCGGTCTGTCGCCGAAGAGCGCATGAAAGGGCTCGAAGGGGAGTTGGCCATAATGGGTGAAGAGGTTGACAGATTAAGGATGCTTAATGAGGACCAGGTTAAAAGGGTTAAGGAATTGGTAGACAAGGTCGAATTTACCCGTAGTGCGTCCGATCATGACCTTGAAGGCCTCCGTGGGGAACTCAAAGCTCAAAAGAAGCTCGTGGAAGCAGAGGAGGAGAAGACACGGGATGTGGAAGCTGCCTTGGACGAATCACAGGGTAAGAATCGAGAGTTGGTTGGGGCCATCGAAACTTTTGAGGCCCAGATCAAGCAAATGAAGGATTCTCTAGACACCCTCAACGCCCAGTATACCGCTCAGCAGCAGGGACAGGAATCAATCGCAGCTGCCATAAGGCATGTACACAGTCAGCTTTCTACTGACCCGCCCCCGGATAATATAGACACCGTACAGGCCACCGTGCAAGCATTGATCAGCAAGGCACTAGAGCGCATTAATGACCTTGACGCAAAGGTGAAAGAGGAGGAGGCGAGGGCAAGCGAAGTGGAAGCAAGGAAAGCACTTCTACAGTCTCGATTCGACTCGCGAACAATCAAGGCGAAAGATCTCACTCAACGACTCTACACACATAACGCACGATCAATCCAATTGCTCGAGTCGTTGGGCTACCGCATTGTTCGCGGCGAGGACTCGATGCAGATTGTCAAAGTTCCCAAGAGTGCTAATACCGAATCCATTGTGCTTTCCCGGAGCGCTCATAACATGGAAGCATCAGTTACCGGAAAACCGTCACCACTATCGTTGGCACACTCACCCACGGTCGAAGACATCAATCTTCTCTACTGGATGGAGACCGAAGATTCTGACGCAGAGACGGAAAAGTACACACAGTACCTCAAGAAAATTGGAGCTTTCGATCTCGATGCGTTTAGTGACATTGTCACCAGCCGCGTTAAAAAGCTAGAGCAAGACTGCAGACAACTAGTAAAGCAATGCCGCTCCTATCGGGAAAAGTACTACCGATCCCGCGACGAAGCAAATGAGAAGATTGCATACAAGTCTTTTAAACCTGGCGACTTGGCCCTCTTCCTGCCAACCAGGAACTCAGTGACTCGCCCCTGGGCAGCTTTCAACGTGAACGCGCCACACTTCTTTCTGAAGGAGGACTCCTCTCACAAACTCGCGAATAGGGACTGGCTGCTAGCCCGCATCTCCAAGATTGAGGACAGGGTGGTAGACCTCTCCCGCTCAACCGCAACTCTAACTCTCCCTCCTTCCGCCTCCTCTCCCTCCTCATCCTCGACCGACAAACCCTTCTCCGCCGCAGCTCTCGACGACGAAAATCCTTTTGAGCTCTCCGACGGCTTGAGGTGGTACCTACTGGAAGCGATCGAAGAAAAACCGGGCGCGCCAACGACCCCCGGCCTCTCTACCAGCACCGTTGCTGCCGCAAATGTAGATGCCAAAGGAAGCTTGCGAGCACGCAAGGGCGTCACCGGCGCGAAGAAGACGCTGACGCAGATCACCACAGAGCACAACAGTCGCCGGAGTTCTAGCGGGAGCAATTCGCACCGGAACTCGCTGGTCGTGGGACCGGAGGTCGCTGCCGGTCTTAGAGACGCGGTGGTCAACGGTGGGGTTGCGGCGAGTGCAGTCGAATCAGTTCCTGGGACTCCGATTACCGGAGTTGGAGAGAAAGGGATGGAAGCACTCCGGGGGATTGCTGCTGCTGCTAGTGCTGCCGATGGGAATGGTGGGAATGATGCCCCGCTGGGCGGCACCAGAGGATGACGGTGGAATGTTTTCGGAGCGAGAGGGTAGGTGGGTAGCATCATAGACAGATTGACTAGGTAAACATTCTCGTGTGGGTGTGGTGTAGTATGTATGATGGACTGATTGGTGGATTGGTTCTCGTCTGTCCGCCAATAGCCAAATTCTCGATTGATTGATTAGTCGACCGGGATTATCATGGTGTTTCTCGCATGGCATGCGAAAGTATTGTACTGCGCTCTTCAAATTCGGAGATATGGATAGGATAGGGTGGATCGGTTTATGTTTTTTTCTTCAATTTTTCTGTCATTTTTCTTTTCCTTTCTACTCTTTTCTGCCTACGGGACGGAAATATTGTAGGAAAAGCCGGTACCGTTTGGTTGTCAACCCTTTCTTTTCTTTTTCTTATTTTCCTCACTTTCACTCCACTCTACTCCACTCCAGTCTCGGGCACAAGTACATAAGTGGACTTGAGCATGTAAGTACTCACGTATTTCAAACAATTTAGAGAGATCAACTTTACCTTCACTCCCATTGTACAAGAATTAATAATTGGATACTAAGACTATGATAACGCATTATTGGTATCATGTATCCCCATCCCTCGTGGCTCTATACGTACAGCAGTATCATACAATAACTAAGTCATCATCCTCTTCCTCGAGAGCATCTAGTCCGGCAAACCTTATTTTCTTCTTCGGTGGGGCCGGCGAGGCCGGTCTCTTCCGTTTAATCGGCGAGAGGCTAACGTTGGTAGCCTCTTTGGCTTTCTGACGAAGTGAGGATAGAGTGTTTGCTGCTTCATCGTCCTATTCATCCCTCCCTCCCTCATCATTAGCCACGCCTTCTTTCATCCGTCGATCAAAAAAGAGGAAAACGTACCAAATTTCTACTGCTAGCAGCAGCAACCCCCGCTTCCCCCTGCCTTTTCTGAATCTCATCTTCACCCCATCGCACCTGCTTCTTCAGGTAATCCACCCCAACCCCGCCCTCTATTCCCTGGGACTTAATGATCCTCTTCGTCAACTCCCGCTCCTTCTGCGCGTCGGCCAGGCGCTTGCGCATTCTGTCCTCTTTACTGCCACGGAGGAAGGAGTCAGCAAGGTACTCTGCGTCGTCCAGCAAACTGGCCGTCGACCGGCCCGGCGCGATGTAGACTCTACCGCCAGCACCGCCGGCGCGTTGTGGAATGTCTGCTATTCCCCCGCCTTCGACGTCAGGGAGTAGGCCGTCATCGCGGAATGGTCCGTTGGGTCTGCCACGACCGAAGAATCTCCGGGGTCGGAGGGTGCCTTTCTGCTTTGGCGGGGAGAACATTCTCGTAGTTGAATTTACCTCTGCACGGGATACACGGGATTTGTTCAGGGCTTGTTCGACATGGAAGGTGCAATAGTGGGTGTGGCGCTTGTCAACCCAGGATGCACATCTCTTCCCATCTCTCTTAACGGTTTTGCAATAGTCCAGATCTCTGGCCTGGCCGATCTCCAGTAATTGATCACCTTCCGTCAAAGTAAGTGAAAACCGCCCTGTATCCGTGATCCTCGGCTTCAGTATGCCAGGATTAAGCAATGCAACCACAGTGCCCACGCCAACCTTCCAGAAATTATCGAACCCCGCGCCGAACAGGAAGAGCTCTACCTCCCATTTTAGATCAGTTATTTGGAGGACCATGTATTTCCCTGTGCCCCTCTTTTGGGTGTTCTGCCCGACGTCCCTTGGAGAGGATTTCGAACAGATTATGCCCATCACAACCCAGTCGCCAAGGACGTCGGGTGGTTCAAAGTCGGGAGATTTGATGGATCTTAGGAGGTGTGAGAGGAGGAAGATGGTTTTCGGAGAGAGGTGGCGGGAGAGGGTGACGTGGGTAATCAGACGGCGGGAGAGGTGCAGGCCTGAGAAGGAGTCGAAACCACCCTCGTCTGTGGAATCGGGGTCTTCGGGTGGTGGGGTTGATTTTGAGTTGGCGGTAAAGGGGTCCGTGATGCCTTCTAGCGCTGCTGAGGCTAAAGGTGATGGTGGTTTAGAAAGTTGAGCTACAGTAGCTGCAGACCCCGAAGATTGTAAGACTCCCCTAGGGCCAAAGGTTGGCGGAGGGCCGCTAGTAATGCTCGGGGGAGGTCCATTGCCAAAGCTTGCGAATCCCTTACTCCGGCTACTCTCAATCATACGCTGACGCTCAGCCTTCTCCCTGCCATTCCTTCGCTCTTCTGCAATCCTCTTACTGAAAGTCTTCTTTGGCTTTTGCGGCGAAGCAGTCCCAGGTCTAGAACTTCCAGTTCTCAGCGATGGTGCTCTTCGTAGAGAAACATCCCTTCCAGTCAATCCCTTATCTATCCCTAACAGGACTCTTGAAGGTGACTTTGGAAGGACCGGTTCGGTTTTTGTCGACTTTGGCGATAGCGGGACTTGGACCACTGCTTTAGATTTAGATGATGCCTGTTTTTGTGAAGCTTGTTTCTTTTGTAGTCTCTTGAGCTTTAGCTTAGCTTCTATTTGGGCGAGCCTGAGTTGGAGCGTTTCTTCATCATCCTCTTCTTCGTCATTGCCGTCGTGTGCGCCGTCGCCGCCACCGACTAGAAATGGAAGGGGAGCCTTTCGGAGAGGGGATGGGGAGGTGGGAATTGATTGATTTGGTAGGCGGGATTTGCGTGGTGTGAGGTTTAGAACATCTGCTGTTGACTGCGGAGGCCAGACTAGATCTGTTTGACTTGGTATTAACATTTGTTTTGTAGTTAAGAAAGGGGAAGGGTATAAAAATGCTGGTGTTATTCACAGCTTAAGGAAAGAGGGGCGTACCTTTATTCGAGGCCATCACACAAAGTGTGCGAGAGGAAGTTGGAGGAGAGTCGTCGATCAATCGAGCGACGTGTTTGACGAGACAAGCAGCAGGAAACGCGCTGTTCGACTTGTCCATTTCAAAAGTAACCGGACATCTTGGCGAGGCTCAGTCGATGGGAGAAACCCTAAACCAGCCTCATGTTGTTCCACCCTGGAGCACTGCATAACCCCCCCTAAACTCCTATAGCTCGCCCAAAGGTTAATACCTTTGCACATTATTTCTATAGAATTAATCCCTGGCCAATCTTGTATCGAAGTATAGAGAAATAGAAAGCGCAAAAGTTGCTGTTGGGGAACCTTAGATGTTTGAAGCTTGTCATGATTTTGAATAAATTTCCCGAGTTAAAGAGCTCCCCCACCATTAGTCCACTATGCCAAGCGTTCTGGATTCATTAAATTTGGAATAGGCAAGTAGACCGGGTAACACCTAGCTGAGCAAAGGAACACTGGATAAAATGATCCCTCCTCCTTCCCTCCCACACACTCACCAACCATAATGATTCGTTCAACATCATTAAAAAAGTTTTCCCCTCCTTTATCAATATTGAAGCCTCGATGCCCATTTCAGAGTGCACGTCGAGCCTTTGCCTCTTCTATTCTCAATATCCCCACTAAAGTAGGCTTTCCCCTTCCAACTTTTTTACCTTTACTTTTCCTGTTGTGGCTGATGGGAAACGCTTAAGGACCCCGTAGAACTGGACAGCATCACCACACTCCCCAATGGTGTCCGAGTCGCAACAGAAGCCTTACCGGGTCACTTCTCCGGCCTGGGAGTGTACATCGACGCTGGCTCCCGGTACGAAAACTCCCGCATTCGCGGTGTTAGCCATTTAATCGACCGCCTGGCCTTCAAGAGCACGAGCAGCCGTAGTTCCGACATGATGCTCGAGACTCTCGAATCATTTGGTGGTACTGTGCAATGCGCCTCATCGCGCGAATCGCTGATGTACCAAGCCGCCGTCTTCAACAAGGACGTCCCGTCCATGCTAGGACTCCTCGCAGAGACCATCCGCGACCCACTAATCACGGAGGAGGAGGTCGTGCAGCAGTTAGACACTGCGGCTTACGAGATCCAGGAGATTTGGGCGAAGCCGGAGCTGATACTGCCCGAGCTGCTACACATGACGGCGTATCGAGATAACACCTTGGGTAATCCGCTCCTATGTCCGGGGGATAGGCTTGACGAGATCAAGAGGGAGACAATATTGGAGTATAGGAATATATTCTATCGCCCCGAAAGGATCGTTATCGCCTTCGCGGGAGTGGATCATTCCATGGCGGTGAAGTTGGCCGAGCAGTATTTCGGGGATATGAAGAGTGCAGAATCGTCGTCTTCGTCATTACATGCAGGCGCGCTGCCGTTGAGCAGTAGTGGCTACCCATCAACTCTTTCCACCGGAGTCCTCTCCAGAATCCCACTAGCCAAGAACCTTTCCACCAGCGCCTCCCGCTCAGCGGATGTCCACTCCCCATACCCAGGCATAAACCTCCCCAACCCATCGCACTACACCGGCGGCACGACCACCCTCCCGCCATCCGACCTCCCTTCACACCTCCCCACCTTCACTCATCTGCAAATCGCCTTTGAAGGCCTACCCATCTCAGACCCAGACATTTACGCCCTAGCGACATTGCAAACCCTCCTCGGTGGCGGCGGTTCCTTCTCCGCCGGTGGGCCCGGGAAAGGAATGTACTCGCGCCTCTTCACCAATGTGCTAAACCAGAACGGCTGGATAGAGTCCTGCATCGCCTTCAATCACTCATACACGGACTCGGGCCTCTTTGGCATCGCTGCTTCTTGTCACCCAGGTACGGGGCCGCACTTGGTCGATGTGATTTTGAAGGAATTCTCTACGACGTTCACGAAATCCGTCTACTCTGGCCTCAAGAGCGAGGAAGTTGACCGTGCTAAGAAGCAATTGCAATCTTCACTATTGATGAACTTGGAATCGCGAATGGTAGAATTGGAGGACTTGGGGAGGCAGGTGCAAGTTCATGGAAAGAAGCTCAGTCCCCTTGAGATGTGTCGCGAGATCGAGAAATTGGGGGTTAAGGATGTGAGGAGGGTCGCTGAGAGGGTCTTGCTCGGCCAAGTAGAGAATGCGGGGAAAGGCAGGGGCGGGGCTACGGTCGTTGTACAGGGCGGCGAGGCGGAGGTCACCGCTATGGGGGATCTGTTGGAGGTTGTGAGGAGGTATAGACTTGGTAGAGAATAACTTGGCTGGGACACTCTTTTCATTTCATTTCTTGATTAAGAGGGAGGGGTTCTTGTGACATACTTTACCCAAAAGGTTTGGGAAATGCTTAGGGTGGTTGGGTGTTATGGGTGGGATTGCTAGAGTTGTTTTCCTTTCCTGCACGATACTTCAAAAAATTTCAGAGTGCTTGTAGGGTTCATGATTTGGTATGAGCTATATAGAAAGATACTGCAAAACCGACTATCGTGCCTCGGTGTACAATATCACTAACCATGCACGATAAACATATCATACCCTAATTGCAGCCCACGGGGCTGGATACACTCCCTAGTGTTCGAATAATAGCGTACATTGTTGTACCATTTTGAACAACCGATCCCGTACCGTGAATTACTCGAGTACGGTACAGCACTAGGGTACAAAGCCGGAAAAAGGTATCTTACACTAAAATCTGGCGTCGGGGAATGGTGGTTTTGCTATTACTGCTCGGGTAGGGGGGTTCATGTGGCACAAAGTGCTGATTAATTAAGTTTCCGTTTAACAAGGAGATTTTAGGTCGCCAGGAAACATGAGGCGTTAGTCGCATGTGAGGACCGTGCCCAACCGAGGAGCTAAGTTGGATCCAGGAGATCCTTTTCTACTCCTGCGCTACAGTATGGGGTTGTAAACCCTCCCCCTTTCACATCTACTCGTAGTGAAGTAGCAGTAAGTACGAGTACGGGGTTTTCGGCCACCCCTAGTGTTCGGCCACCCTGGCACCACCACCAGCCGTCAAAAAAAAAAATCTAATTTACAACTCCCATTGAAACATACAGGCTTCCATCTGTGTTTTTTCTTAAGATTGCGAGATTCTTAATGCTGCCTCCGCTGCAGAAGGCAGTTTAGCCTTCGCCTTCGCCTTCTTTTCTTCAATCCTAGCCTTTTCCACCTCCCCCTCTACCCTTGCCCTTTCCACCTCTTCAAGAGATTTTTTAACTGATTCTACAGTCACTCGGCAGAAGTGTTCGTGATCTGAGACAATGTGTAATGATCCCTCTCCGGATGGTTAGTTCTTGGCGACGGGGAATGATACTTCTCTTCTCCTTCTTCTTTCTTTGTCTTACAATAGCAGTAGGCCTGTGCCAACATTACCGATAGTACAAGACCTCTGTCTTCTATTGGGAACGACTATCGAAAGCTGTCTCTAACTCTTCTCTGTGAAGAGCTTTCCTCTGCATAATGATAAATATTGCAATAGAGATAAAGATCATAAAGGTGTTTTATATTCGTTAAAGTAATAAGTAGGAAAAGTACTTAGAATTTAATCTAATTTTATTTAAACTTGTACTGCCAATACTGGCATACAACGAGCCCCAGGGGTGGGCCCCCAGGTTGTCACATCCCGGATACTACTAACTACGGACTAACTAAAACTCCAACCCCATACCTCAAACATGCCCGCGCCATGCTACAGCATGAACACTAAATACAAAGCCATCAACGGTAAAGAAAAATCCTCCTCAGCCCAGCCTACCCGCCAGCCAAGTTACCCATACAAAATACAAAAATCCACTACAGTCACCTAAATGTAAACCCGCGATATCCTCCTCCACAGTAGAAACCCGCCTGAGTGCCCCCACTCAATAATCCCAGGACACCCCGTCGGCCGCCCTGGGATTCATTCCCATTTCCAAACAAAAGAAACACCCAATGTCCAAACTCGTAGACCCGAGAGAAAGCCGACTTACAGGGTAAGGGCTCCGTAGCAAAGAGGGTACAAACCGTCGTAGAGAATCAGGGGGGCACGACACCAGCAGTGCAGCCCAACAACTTCGATAGAAGCAGCCAGGACAATATAGTCACCAAGCTGTTGGCACTTGACCGAACATGCCCTGGTATTCAACTCCTCCTCCAACTCCTCAGCTCGCTCCGCATGTGGCAAACCCGCCAAGGACTCTGTAGTAGCCAGTTTGCGGTAGCGTAACGGTGAAGGCGATGACCCTTCCAAGTTGGGGACAAGCGGCACAGGTGAGGTCTGGTCTTGTTTGACCCGACTCTCCTTGTTTCTTTTCCTCTTCCCACCCTCAGGTGCAGGTCTAGCAACAGGAGTGGACAGACCACCCTCATCACTACTCACCGCAACAGGGGGGACGCCACTAAAGGTATTACCCTGACCAGCCACGGGCTCAGCCACAGAGGACTCAGGCACCTTTCCCTCCAAAGGGGGTGATAACACCGCAACTGGTTCCACCACACCAGGATCCACCTTACTCATACCAGGAGCTAGCGGCTCAACCGGACCTGACGAATCATGAACTGGTCTACACACACTACCAGCCACAACCGATGGTACAGGAGGGGCCGAGAGAATCAGCGGCGCAACATTCTCACGAGGGCTCTCCATCGCTAGACCTGAGAACTCTTAGGGTCTAGCCCACCCCCCTCAACAGGGACTACTGTAGTAACTGAAGCGAGCGAGGGGACAGGTGAAGAGGGGATAACCGTAGGTGCTTCAGCTACCAGAATTGTGGCGAAACAGGGAACTGTATCGCCTTCAGAGGCCAGGGTAGCCGACAAGGTAGATATCTCTTTCTCAGCATGATGAAATCGCGAAGAAAGGAAGGAGATCTGATGCGGAAGGTGGGAGACTTCGGCCTCTAGGGCGAAGTTGTTCTCGACAGCATGAGACAGAACCAATGACGAACCTAAAGTGGACATGGTGGAGGGGGCAGAAGCTCGCTTAGCCATTGTGACTGTGAGGAGGTGACTGTAGTGAACAACTGAAAGGATAAGTAGAAGGAAGAAAGGACTTCCAGCAAACGTAGGAGAAGGTATAACAACGAAGCCCGCAAAAGGTGTTCGAAGTTAAAGACTTGAAGCCTATCATGAGATAGAAATCAAGGGCTCTGATTGGATCGACACCGAATCCTCACTACTGACAGGGGGTAAAAGAAGGAGGAAAAGTACTTAGAACAAAGCGTGAAGAACCTATCCTCCTTGGCCGCATCGGCCTCCTTATATAGTGTTCTTCCTGCCCATATTCATGTGACCCAAAGTGGTCACATGTGCGAAACCAAATCATAACAAACTAGTCATGTGACCAAAGTAGTCACAGGTTCATAACCCATGACCTCATTGCAAGGTCATGTGCAAAAACTCATAAACCAATCATAACACAATAAACAAGTCATATGACTCGAATGAGTTATATGCACGAAACCCATGACCTCATAAAGAGGTCATGTGCAAAACATAAATCATATGCGCAAGGCATACCCATGAGGCACAATCGCGAGGCATTCTCACCCGGAGCACATCCTATGACTCACAATCGAGTCATATGCGAAACATAACATCATGAGTCATATGACCTAAATGAGTCATATGCGTAAAACAATAACATACCTATGACTCATAATCATGAGTCATGTGAAAATATTTTCCATGCCAAGCTACTTTCGTGACACTATATTTAATTACAGTTGTGCTATATGGTGGGGCAGTGCCGGTAGGGTTGTCAATGGGCGTGCGCGCGCCTGAGTTCAAGCTTATGATTAACAATCACAGGTACCTCTCAACATTCAACGGTCAATTGACCTACCATAAATTAAACTAGCTAATATTTTGTATAACCTCCCCTTGCTTCTAAAACTACAGCCATCCTATCAGGCATTGATTTCCACAACTTCTCAAAAAGCTACTCCGGAATTGTCTCCCAAATCAATAGTAATACATGTGCAAGTCTTCTCATAACAGCCTCCTTTCCTCCTGGAGTATCTGCAATCCTGGGATACTGCTGGTGCAATCGCTTTTTAAGCTCAACCCATACATACTCAATAGGATTTAAATCAGGAGAATAAGGGGGGTGGTTTACAACCTCAATACTGTTTCTCTCCAACCAATCTATAACACTATATACCTTGTAAATAGGAGCATTATCTTGCTGAAAAAAAATACCTTCAAGTTGTATACTAAAGGAAATCATTTGATGAATAACAGGAAAAAGATATCTTCTCAAAAGTCTAACATATCTGGTCTTATTGATAGTTTGAGTAATAGGAACTAATGGACCTTTTCTTTTACCCCAAAAGCACTCCCAAACTATAAGCAAGATTATCTTATCCTTCTCCTTTAGGTGTACACAATCAGCTAACTACCTCTCTGCAGGTTCTCTAAATACCCATTGTTGCTTTGGATTCTTGGATTTCTCCACACTGCACTTATCACTCCAAATCACTCTTTCAACATTCTCAGCTGTCCAATCCCTATGAGCTGTAGTCCATCTCAATCTCTTTTCCACATGATCAGGCTTTAGCCTAGGTCTTGAATTGGCTATCCACTTTTTAATGTTTGCTTCTCTGAGTACCCAGTCCACTATGCAGGCAAATTTAGTAAGCCATCATATCCAGTCACTCTGGGTAGCATAAAGAGTTACCAGTATCAAGAGAAACACTGGGTGCATAGTGATCTCTGAAGGTGCATCTGGTCATTTTCTGGTTGGACTTGGCTCCCTGTATAATTGTATGATGCTGTTGACTACACAAAATGGGTGTGAGACCGGGATGAGGGCGATTTTCAAGAGATTGGCATTCACATGCCTGGACAAGAAAGCTCTTAACTGTTGTCCATGGGCCTCTAATAATTTGAGCCACCAAGGCAATGTTCCAGAGGTAGTAGAAAAAGGCGATAATTATGCCCTTCTCTGCAAGGCTCATTTCTCTGCTGGTAGTTTTAGGTGGGGGTATTTTTTTTACGGCATACTTCATATTTTCAGAATGCTTAACCATTGGTAAAAAAGGTAGACGAAACTAATAAATTAATTAATTAGGTAAAGGAGGCTTTGGTAGGTGTAGATTTGTAAATGGTCACAGTCGAGATGGGGTGAATGGTCATGATCAACTTTACACTTTGCTGAAAGGTAGCATTTTGGCACGGCAGCTTAGTCATCTGATACTGACTTCATGAACACTTCTGCCGAGTGACTGTACATTGGCAAATAAAGTATTTGGATCTATTGTAACCTTTCTTTTCCATTTCTTACTCTCTAGCTTGTCCACCTTCAACTGTAGTTGTTGGCTTTTGGCGTATAACTTGACTTAATCCACTGCTACTTGGCCTTTAGCCTTACCAGCCTTCTGAAAAGCTTTCCACAGACTTCTTGTAAGCTCTCCTAGCTTAGA